AGAGAGAGAGAGAGAGAGAGAGAGAGAGAGAGAGAGAGAGAGAGAGAGAGAGTTCTTCTTCTTCCTCTTCTAATTCCACCATCTCTCCCTCACCCTCTCGCTACCTGACTTCTCAGTATCGACAGACTACGAGAGAGAGAGAGAAAGAGGGATATTTGTGACTTTGGGATGTTGACGACATTTGGATACAGACTCGAGTTTGGGACAGAGACATTGACGAGGGACTATTTGGGATCGATACCAACGACACTTGTGTGACGACATTTCCATTCCTCGCTTATCTTCGTCTAATCCCCCTCCTCTTCATCTGTGTATGCTTGGAGCCTGGCACACTCTTCCTGTGTATAGCGCCAGGCCCCTTCACACCTTGGGATGGTGATGATGTATGTTGGGTCTGCATTGCGACATTGATTGGTCGGATCATTGGTATTTTAGCCTTCCGCTGCGCTATCCTGTACCATGTGAGAGGGGTCGGTTCCTGTTCTGGTCTGTACCTCTACGGCATGCAACACCCAGCTACCTGGGGCCTACCGGAAGCTTCTGGGCTCAGGCCCAGTCCAGCCAGGCCGCAGACCCGGCCAGACTCTTTCCATATAGGAAAGAGCTCGCTACCTGGCAGGGTATTCGGCCACGTGCTAGTTTGCGGCAGCGCTGCTGGAGCGAGTGCTCGCGGGCTGCTGCTAGCGCAGAGCATGGTGCAGCGCACGTGCGGTCGTGAAGAAGAAGGGTGCTGCTGAGGGCAGCGCCATAGCCCAGCTTCCATAGCTGGCTGAGGCTTGGTGTTACAGCAAGGCGTAGTGGTGGTCTTCGGGTGTAAAGAAGGAAGACGAGGAAGAGAGACGAGGGAGAGAGAGAGAAGTAGAGATGAGGATGATGATGTGAGGGCTCATACCTGGTATTGGAGATGGTCTGCATTGGGCGACATCTTCATGTACCTCGGTGGCTGCTGACTTCAAAGTTGCATTGTCAATTCGTAGGCAGATAGTAGCTGTGTGGGGAGTAGTCTGGGCGCCGAGCGCCAAGTAGGGGGAAGGGCCTGGACACTTGTGTTGGTGATGGCGAGAGTAATCTCTCATTGACATTGGGTTTCAGTGTTTCGATTCTCCATTGGTGTAATATTGGTGCAATGCTGCTTTCTGGACACTGAAACTTTCTGGCTTTCAATGAGTTTGTGCATCCTGGAATTCTGTCATTTCGCTCTTGTTCATTTTCCTTGCACCACAGTCAAAGAGGCATTAGGCGAGGGCTTAAGGTTTTAGCACCATTTATAGAATAATAGCAGATTCCCAATAGAACAGAATAGCTTAGGCAGGGGTGAAGGGTGTTACATCCTTCCTTGGGGAAGTAATCAATGCCGTCCTTCGGACCTCCACACCATAATGGGGAGGAGTGTGAGTGAGTACTTATCATAATAGGAGCCGGACAGATGCTCCCCAGAATGGAACGGGAGCCAGAACCCTATGGTTCTGTTTTTTTTTTTTTTTTTAAGAAAAAAAAAGAAAAAAGAAAGAGGAAACCGCACTGGAGAAATGCAATTTACAACCACAATCAACTCGTGCAATCAGTATTCATATGGTGACAAGTAGCACAAGAATTAGACAATGTAGTCTCTTGACGAAGAAAATCCCCCTTCTCGGCGCCAACAATCACCACTAAAAGGAAATACAAAAAGACAAAACAAGGACGAAGAGGGCTCCTGAGCCACAAAGGACAACCATCCCTGCCGCAAAGCCTCCATCCTGACCGTCATGCTCTCGAAAAGGAAGGTGGCACAGCCTGCGGGGGCTGAACCCGGGGTTGGGCCCCTAGGGCCCGTGTAGGAGGCCTCAGGCATGCTACAAAGTGCCTCGATTTGCCTTCATGAAAGACTGAGATTTGCCAGTCTGTGCAACCAAGATTTGTTTGCAGCCAGGACTCGTGCGTCCCCAGCAGGCCTTGGAAACTTCTGGAAATTCCACTGAGTCATTGGATGGGTGTGTGATCTGTGGCCGTGGTAGACTCCTGAGAAATCTTTGACTCTTTGAGTGCTGTGCCCAGGTAGGGACTGCCTGTTTACTTTCCTGAGGCCTGCTCTTGCTTCTAGAGGTCCTAGGTGCCTCACTTTCACCCTTGATCCCAGGCCTACCGACTTATTGACTTTCTGGGACCTCTTCAAAGGCTGTGGATAGACTTTTGTCCCTAGAACTCTGACTCAGGCAAAAGCTATGACCTTTAAGACTTGTTTCTTGCTGATTTGACCTTGGTTCTTCGCATCTGAAACAGAACAGCCAGAAATACCCTTTTCGGATTTTCCTGAAAACAAAAACAAATGAACGAAGTTAACGAATGCTCTTCTGAAAAAAGAAAATAAAAAAAGAAGAAACGAACGCTTCAAAAATGACCCATGGCCCTATGGCCACCCAAAATGTGGGTCGTGCAGCCGAGGCCCATTAGTCAATGTGGGAGGCCAGGGGCATGCCACATTCAGGTTGCTTACGGGGTCATGGGGACGCTGACCAGCATTGCGATGCCTTTCTGACCTCCTACCACCGTGGATGTATCCCAGTTGAAACCACGCCTTTTCTTTTCTTTCACCATCCACCGACAGCAACCAATGTCAGAGAAGAGGAAATCTCTCTGGAATCGGGGGCCCATCCTTGAAAAATAACTGAAGCCTCCACCTTGCCTCTCAGTCGAGATAACTCCAAACTCGCAGTTGCCAAATTTGATACTCCTGGGGAAGCCCTTCAGCCGGCCACAGTCTAAGCAAACTCTAAACTTTGCCCTAGGTGTCAATTCGGGAAGTGATTCCGGGAGCCAATCCCTTTTCAATAACTGAAGCCTCCACCTTGCCTCTCAGTTGAGACAACTCCAAACTCCCAGTTGCCAATTTGATGCTACTGGGAAAGCCCTTCTGCCGACCACAGCCGTAGAGAACTACAAACTTTGTTCGATGTGTCAATTCAGGAAGCCCTTCATTCTGCTGAACTCAGTCTTAGCAAACACCAAACTTGCTGAAGCTCAATGCACAGCCATCCAACTTTCATGGCTGTTATGATCCTGGCTATTCTAGAAGTGCAATAACACAAAGAAAGACAATGGCGTTTAATTGCAACTGGAAAAAAGAACTCGGAAGCAGACAAAGGAAGAAGAAGAACAAGAAGATGTACAACAGCAAAGGCCAATGTCAAATCCCCCTGCCATCACCTTCAACCTCCTTATCTCCCCCAACCTCTTCATAAAAATAAATAATAACAATAACAGTGAAAGAATGAACCAGAACCAATGCCCGAATCTCCTCCTTACTGCCAGCAACACATGAGGTCCACCATAGCCACGACGGACACCTTCGTCCTCCTCTCTATGGTAGGTGGCTATGGCGGACTAGTGGGGCCTTGCCCTAATGTTAAAAGGACAACACAAAGCTGACAAGTCCCCTCTACTATGGCCGCTATGCCTAATTCTGCTCTCTTCCTTGAAGCAGCGCACCCTCACTGGGGCCTTCTAGGTGCAGCATCAACCAAGAATATGAAGATGCCATCCGCCATAGCCAGGTAAGCACCCCCGTCACTCTCCTCCTTGCTCACCTTCTTCCTCCTCCTCCTCCTACACCCCGGAGCCTACCTCCTGGTTCGCTCCACCATAGCCGAAGGTGGAGCGCCAGGCCGCCTTCCTCCCCAGCGCCGGACTGGCCAAGAACTCCCTCCAGCAGCGTGACGCCAAAGCTTGCACACTTTGCAAAATGAGGATGAGCACTTCGCCCCTCCTGGATATATGCCGGGCAGCTTGCCTCCTACGTGGTGACTTTCCAGGCTGCTCGGCCTCCCAAGCATCCGGTACCTTCCTCCTTTCGGAGGGAAACATCACTGCAGGTCTGATATCGTCGGCCACAGGCCTTAGACTCAGACTACCAGAGTGATACTCCTAGACCTAGGCCTACCGGATCTTTTAGAATTCATTCGGCCTCTAAATGTACTAAATTTTTGTCTTCTTCTGCCTGCCAACCCACGTGCGCCTAGCCTACCAACCCACGTGCGCCTAGTCTACCCAGTACTTGAGTGTTTCCAACAACGCGGGCCCTAGCCTACCGCTACGCCCCTGCCTCCCCTGCCTCCCCTGCCTCAACCCCACAAAAGCACGGCCACAGGTAAGTACCAGGCCCAAGGGCCTACCCAGCATACAAGTACCCTAGTGGGTCGCACACACACCCCAGCAATCATGCACTCAGACAAACACACGGGAACCAGCAAGCAAGTGCAGATACAGACTTCAGCGGAAAGCAGGAATCTCAGGAAATCACACATTCCAGCGGCAAATCTCAGAAATAAGCAGAGTTCTCAGTCTGTGTTGTGGCAGGTCATGCAACCCAGTGAGTAACAATTCAGCAGCACTCCTCGTTGTATGCTTTGTGAAAGACATGATGACATTGATGAGACTGATGCACATCACATGGCCTCTAACTGGCAGCACAGCAAAACAGGATTGAAAGTTCAGTTCTTTGTCGGACAGGTTTTCGGGATAATTGCCATGGTCGAGGCTGGTGTTGGAGCTTCAAAAGGTGTCGGCCATTCTGATGAAGCGTGCTTCCACCTGTTGTTTGCATGCACCTTGAAATGGTGGTGGAACTACTTTCCATACATTAAACACCATGGCATGGCATTGATTCCGCTTGTAATTAATGTTTCCTCAGGTCATGAGAAAGTTGAAGTGGGCGGAGAGACATCACCAAGAAAGGGTTGTCACTAAGCAGGGCTCAATAAACCCGACGTTATGGTATGATTATGCAACATTCTGCATGAGGGTGAGTTACTCTGTCCTGTCTTCAATTCAACTCTTGTCTTCTGTCTTCCCTTAGACTAGTTCAAGCTTGTTCTAATGCCCAGCACTTTTCCACTGTTGATGTGGCATACTGTGTAGCCACAGGGGCCCTGCAGGGCCTGTCCCAGGCATTCAGCCTAAAAGCCTAAAACTTAGGGCTTACAGGCCCCGGTCGTTTCAGCCTGAAAGCTGAAAAACGAGGGCCTGCAGGCCCTACTCCGTTTCAGCCTATTTCTGGGTCTTTCAGACCCAGAGTTTTTCCAGCCTGAAACGGAGGGCCRTTTTCAGGCCCTCATTGTTTCAACCGCCCCTAAGACTCAGGCACGGAAACAGGGTTTCAGGAACAGGCCAGAAATAGCCTGTTCCCACG